TTTTTTTCTCGGAATGAAACATACTTACAGATACCTGTAAAAGCAAATTCGAACGAGCTGGTACCCTTTATGTCACCTATAATTTATTCTTGACACGTTAATGGGCAGTTGTTCCCACAATAATACTAACCATTACACTCGGATGAGGTTTTGGATTTAAACTCAGCATTAAGCATTAAGATGATTGTGTGCGTGTCCGTTTAAATTATATAAATTAAATAAAGTACTACTAACACATTTTATGAGAATCAAGAAATACCTTAAATTTTATTATCTATTTACTTGTATATTTATTATTATGGTATTAATAACTATCTATCTGCTTTCAATACTATTTCTTTTGAATTCTTAGGAAGGAAAACTTTTAATAGACAAGCTTTTATTTATCTCTACCTGTGTTAGCTTCTGATATGTAAAGACCTTATTTATTAATATTATTGTGTCTTTATCCCGAAAGAAAATATTTGTATAGACACCACTTCCTAATATATATCCACTTCTGGAATAAGACGCTGTCTCAATTGCAAATGTATATATCCATACATATATTTAGGAAGAATTATAATTAAGTCATAAATAAAAAAATATTTTTCAATCTCATTTACAGGTCAAACTTAAGTATCTACCTTTAACATTTTAGTCTTTATACATGATTTAAACATATAAATAATGAACTTTTTACTTAGGTCCCGCATATCCCATACTCATTTGTCCCACACACGTGCCACGCCAATATGCTCATTTGATCTTGCTTATAAAGAACTTTTCGATAAAATTTATTAGAGAGGCTTAATTTTTTGGGAAAATTACACTCAGGTCTCACAAAGCACAATTAATATAAAAAAGGTCCTTCGAAATCACAAAATGATTCTGAAGTCCCCAGGGACTTGTGTGTAATTAATTCTAATTGTAAAATTACGTAGTTACCTCTGTTAATTTGAACCTATTTACAACCTCAACAGTGGCTGTTAACAACCCGAAAAGAGGTGGTTAACAACCTCAACAACGCCCCTGATATTCCACAGAGTGAGTTGTCATGAGCACTGCCGAGGTTGTCAATCACGTCTTCTCGAGTTGTTAACAGCCACTGTTGAGATTGTAAATGAATTGCTGCAATAAAATTAGAACATATTTACAACATCAACAGTGACTGTTAACAACCCGAGAAGAGGTGGTTAACAACCTCAACAACGCCCCTGGCATTCCATAGAATGAGTTGCCATGAGCACTGCCGAGGTTGTCAATCACGTCTTCTCGGGTTGTTAACAGCCACTATTGACATTGTAAACGAATTGTTGTAATAAAATTAACAGGGGTAAGTAGGTAATTTCACAATTAGAATTAATTACACACAGGTCCCTGGGGACTTCAGAATCATTTCTCGATTTCTTGGGACCTTTTTTATATTAATTGTGCTCTGTGGGACCTGAGTGTAATTTTCCCTAATTTTTTTTATAATATAACATTTATTTTGACAAAGCATTTAATGAGTTTTTTTAATTTTATCCTCACACATTCTCTTTCTTATTTGATTCAATTATTTCATCTTTTACTTATTCTCTTTATTAATAAGAGCATATCTAGAAAAAATATGGTTTATATATTTATTGTTTCAAACTGATTTTAATTAGTTTCTTGATAAATGTAAATAAAAAAAGTTTAGTTTACATTTTAAACCAGAGTGAGTATTGTGTTAAAATTAAGAAAAACTTTAAATTTTGTCATTTTAAAATTTAATATATTTTTAGAAATTTGTCTCTATTAAATAATAATATTTATAGAATAGTAAATTAAAAACTAAATTATATATTCAGATAACACATTTAATAAAATGATTTACATAGAAGCACAAGCTAGGGGGGGAGGGAGGGACATCAGACGTGGTGGTGCCGGAGGTAGGCCTAAGATTCGCCTTTTTAGGTGCGGAGAGGGGGGGATAGAGATTATCGGAGAATCTTGTCATCATCGTCATCATCGACTGCAGGCCATCCTTATGAAGGGTGGGTCCCATATCTGCTCTTAGTCCATTCTTGTCCTTTTCTACGGCCACGTTCCTCTTTCTTTCTTTCTTTTTTTCCAAATAAAATAAAAATCCTGCCTCCTCTTCCATTATCTCACAATTCACCCGCACAGCACTGCAAATAATCCCTAATTAAAAAAGTGTTTGGTTTCAGTAAAATCACTTTTAAAAAATATAAAATTTCTATTACATGTTTATTTTGTATATGATAAAATTATTTTTCTAATTATGATTAGTTTTTATCCAAACATTCTCTAAATAGTAAATAATCATAGTAATTTTTTAGATAAATAATTTTAGCCCCACAATTTTTAATATATCTTCATAATGAGGATTTTATTAGACAAAAGTTGTGCTGCAGTCAAATGTCTCAAGGCTATGGAATCAATTCGGATTCCATTCTCTTGATCCACACAGAACTTTTCCAGTCAAATGGGGCATTTGATTGCCAAATATTCATGAAATTACATCTCAATAGAAGCACAATAAAGCCCCCAACATATATTAAGCCTATGAGTTTCTTTTTACTTACCACCTCTGTCACTCAGTACAAAAGTTAAATAGCTAGTCTGAAAATATTAAAAAAATTGGTTAAAATAGTTATTTGTAATAAATATATCTTGATTTTTTTAAAGTATTATTTTTAATTATATGCATTAAAACTATCTCTTGATTAGAAATTCACTTTATATGTGTAACTAATGAGAATATCCTAAGCATAAAGTTATAAATCTGAAATCTTATATTTAAGATGAAAACAAACTCAGTTTATTTTTTATACTATCTCAAGTTTTCAATATAAGACTAAATTAACTAATTTGATGATATTAAATAAATTATTTTAAACCATTTAAAGTTACTGTTTCTCTTTAAATTAATTTTTCACATTTATAAATCGATATAGAATGTAATTTAATAATACATTTAAAATTTCAGAAAGATTATGTAATATTTATTATCATTAAATAATTTATTTAATTATTAAATTTCTCAAGTAAGAGCTGTTATTTGAGATAGTGTTTTCATGTAGTGTTCCTCTGGGTCGGATTCGTCTTTCCCTTAAAATCCTGATGTTTTCACGAATTGGTCTGGAAAAAGTGAACTTGTACTGAACTGGTTTGTCTAATGATAGTTTGCTGCCCCACCCCACCCAAAAAAAAAAAAAAAAGACATATTCTTTTAATGTATCTGACAAAAGAGTGAAAAGGTAGGTCCAAGATAAATGGTGGATTCCTCAGTCATTTATTTTCACCATAGCGCTTTCTGGGAATCAATGTCTCGTCCTTGCAGGAAATAAAATTCCGAATACGACCATATCACCAATAGTGATTTGTGGGGGACAAAAAAGAGAACAAAACAACCAATTTTACCCCTGAACGTATCGTTTGGTGTAGTGTTAGGTAAAAGTCAGGTAATGGGTACGATTTTCCTTTTTTAATTTAATTATAAGACCATGGTCTCAACCGGACAAAGAAGACTAGACTTGTTAACAATTGAAGAAGTCTTGCAAAACCGAGCAGGTTTATTGTCATTAGCTGCATCCAAATTTATATCATTCCATAATCATTATAATTTTTTTTTTGTTATTACATTCTTTTCCTTTCATGAGATTTTATAATAATTTTCTGGATTAATATAATTTTTAATCTATGAAATTTAAGCATATTTTGATTTTAACTTCTTAAATTTTGAACTCGTAATTTTAGTCCTTAAAATTTAATCGTTTTAAAATATTAGTCTCTAAGAGTGTAACAATGTTAAAATCTACTAAAGTGTCATAAACATCATTAAAATGGTGATGTTGACTCACCAAATGATACCTAGTTAAATCTTGTATAGACAACAGAAAGAAAGGAAAAGAATATGCTCTCAAAACACAACTTTTTAGCCTTATGTTTTTTCTTCCTCATTGTTCATTTCGAGAGTTGTGTTGTTGTCCTATACTTTGTTATCTACACATGATCCAGTTAAATACCATCCGGTAAGTTCACATCATCACTTTAAACATCATTGGTGACATTTCAACATATTTTAATACCGTTACACCTTTAGGGATTAATGTTTTAAAACAAGATAATTAAAATTCCACAAATTAAAAACCAAAATTTTAAATTTGAGGAATTAAAACCAAATTACCTCGAATTTAAAGCGCACAAATTATATTAAACCCCAGTTTTCCTAAATAAGTTCTTTTATCCCTTATATAGCTAATGAGAGGATAATTGTGGGAGAGCTGATGAATGAGATTGACTTGTTTGATTTCTTGTTTTGGAAATTATTTTTTTTTAAAAAAAAAGATAGCTAATTCGTAGGTCTGTGTTGTTTCAATCAAGTTTTAATGAGATCTTTATAGTTTTCACAAATTCACATTTTTTTTTAAATTCTGGAGACTTATCTGTTATAGTTTTATTTGTGATGAAGCCGCCCATGTTTATACACACTAGTTAAATGAGGCGCTTATTTTATTGGATCATTCTCTGTCCAGCGACAAAGAATTCACAAGAGCTTTAAACTTTAGGCTTTTGAATTCAGGCTCTCGCGTTTTCTTTTGCATTTTCATTTTCAGTTATTAACTTTAGGTTCATTTTAATATCATTTATTTACACTTTCTTGGAAATTTATTTTATTTCAGACTACTATTTATAACTTGTGAGCTTATATCATCTAATATCAATTTATTCTTTTTTTAAAAAATTAATTTTTCCCAACAGGTATTTGGGGCCATTTTTATTATTATTAAACTAAATTTATATTTTCAATAAATTAAAATTAAAGGAAAAGGACTTGTATAATAAAGCGTCGGGGAGGGGCACGTCGCTTTCAGTCATAAATTAGAGGAGAAAAGGAAGCGCTCCAGAAAAACACACACTGTCGTCCCTACCCTTTCCTGTTTCCTTCTCACTCTCCTTCCCTCTAGCGCGAAACATTGTCCACCCACCACTCCTCCTGTTTCTCTCTCTCTCTCTCTCCCCGTCTCTCTCTAGTTCTTCATCTTCTCTTCTCCACCATCTTTCATGTCCCCCTCTCCTCCTGTCGCCCTTCGATCATGGCCTTCGCGTTCGATGGATTCTCCATTAGGTATCTTCTTTGCCTCTTTTTCTGTTTTTTTCCCCTTTCCGTTTACTTGTTTGGTTTTTTGTTTTTAAGCTTTGAATATTTGCCTTTTTTCTGCTACGAACCAACAAGTGGTGATGATAGATTGTTCTACCGTCACCGTGACTTTTGCTGTTTGCGGTTTTTGATTCGGTGTTGCAGGGAGTACACCTCCAAGATGAGGTCCGTTGACGTGTTGAAATGCTGGCCTTTCAGTATAACTAACTCCAGTGACGTCTCTAAGGAAGATTTGAAGTCCTGCCTTCCTCCCATGACTGTTCCCAAGTTCCGGCGGCGGCCCGAGCAGCTAGAAGCCGTGAGATCCGATCACGATGATCGTAGAAAATCTGAGCAACAACTGCCGGATGGCGAAATTTCCGGGAGCGAGAGTGAATCGCTGAAATCGGAGAAGTCCATCAGCGCAGAAGAGGACAGATTGGTTTGTCCGGTTTGCCGAGTTTTCAAAGCGGCGACACTGACTGCGGTGAACGCTCACATCGACGGATGTCTTGCACAGACGATGAGGGAGGAGCGGCGGCATATGAAAATTATGAGTTTGAAGCCCAAATCAAAGGCGCCAAAGAAGAAGCGCTCCATCGCGGAGATCTTTGAGGTCGAGGTAGAACAACCGCCGATGGAAAATCCGTTCAAAATTTGGCCCCTCAATAAGAATCCAGATGAGGTATCAATCACGGTTACCGAGTTCCGGTGGTGTTCACGGCAGATTGAAGCGCTGGGATCCAAACAATCGGAGGGAGAAAGTTCTAGAAATGGAAACGAATCGGGGAAGTCAGATGAGGGACGGGGTGGGGAGGACGAGAAATTGGAGATGGTTTGTCCTGTTTCTGGAGCTGTCAATGCTTCAACGTTGACCGCAGTTAACGACAGCATCGACGTGCAAGCTATGACGGAAGAACGACAGCACCTGAGGATGAATTTTAAGCCAAAGCCTAAGGTGCCGAAGAAGCGGTCAATTGCTGAGATTCTCACGGTAGCGCCTCAGATCGAAGCGAAGTGTAATGAGTTGATTGAGATTGACGAAGAGGTGGAGGAGGAAGAGAAATCTGTTGGTGATGATGATTCAAGTAGGCCTACTGCTGCTCCTGCTGTCTTTTCGACAACCCATAGCAAGAGGAATAAAAACAAGAATAAGAAAAAGAAAAAGACGGAAAGAAGATGGAAAAAGAAGCTGAAGAAGAAAAAGAAGTTGGAAAAGCATAGTGGTGGTACCGTGACTCTGAACAATGATAAGGAGACGCTGAATCAGAATAAAAAGAAAAAGAAGAAGCTGCTTCACAATGGGTTAAATGCAAAGAAGGTACGTACGTGGTTTTCAACTCTCACAAAATATAATCAATCTGACTTACATACATTCATTAGACATATCAGTTTCTTGTTTTTCAGTTGATTCATGAAATTAAAGCACACAATACATGAACTTTATGCCATAAAATGATAACAATTATTACTGTAGTCTTGTGTATGAAAAATATGCGTGTACCAGACTAATAAAGCTTTGCCAACACTTTCCTGGATAAACTTAGTGCTGAAAAAACAGCTGGTTTAGAGAGAGCTGATCATTTGTGGAGGGAAGTGAGTGGGTAAATATGGTATAGTACCTATGCGAGATATGGTGTGACAAGTGAAAAGTTGCCAAAAGCGAGAGTTAATTAATTAAGGTTAGGGCTCCATCCGGGAATGGGATGAACAATAATGTCGCTAGCTCCAGCTGTAAGCCGTGTCTTATTAGTACAGGTTGTTTAGGAAAGGCGATGAGTGGGTTTTCCTGCTGATATCTTCCCGTTGGAATAGTGTTTCGGATAATCAGCTTTTGGTGAAATTTGTATCTTAGTCGCTCTCCTCCTGAGGGATAGAGGAACGAGAGCGACTTATACTCTTGGTTTATTTTAACCAATCTAGAATTCTAGAGATCATTTAATTTACCAAGTTGATTGGACTTGAAACGAAGGATGCTGTCAAAAGTCTATATTTTACATGAATGATAGCCTAAAATACATATGTTACGATTGGTGGTGTGGATTGTTATCACATGGACGTTATCCATTAAAGTGCGTTCCCTTCATCAGTCATCATCAATGGATTATCTACCCATGATATAGTTAGTATCATGTCAGATGGGAAATGAGAGTCCCTCCTGATATGGATTTAATTCCATTCTAAGCCCCCGTCACGAAGTAATATTGATGTATCACATTCACCTGAAGGCCAGTGAGTAGGAACGATTGTACGTAAGTATATAAATAGATAAACAGCTTGGCCAAAAGGGGCAAAAAGGCGCGGAAGCATGTTTTGCAGCGATCCATTCTTGCTTCTGATTTCACCGTATTAATAATTCTTTCTTTCTTTCTTTCTTTTTTATCAATTGTTTGAATTTTTAATTAGATTTAGATTCATTTATCTGAAAAAATTATTTGACTTCCTTTCAAAGAGAAGATTTATTTTTCAAATTGATATCTTCAGCTTTCAGTAAACTCTCGTTCTAAAATACTCCATTTCCTTAAAATGCTTTTCATGTTTGTTATTATTAGTGCGGTAATATTGCAAGATTTATACTTATTTCTCAAGCCTTAACTCTCTCTCAGTCTCTCCCCATACATGGGCGCGCGCATATTAGCAGCACTATAATTATATCTTTCCATTGATGTTGATATGGTAACTAAACAAACTGATAAGATGGTCTTTCTAAAAGTATACCTTCTTCAATATTATATTTCGGAAATAATTTTATCTACTTTAATTCCTTCGAACAAAAATTTAATTCCTCGAATGGGTTGTTTAGGCACAAATTGTGGTTATTAAGTACTCATGTCTGATTATAATTGTCTTAAATAGAAGGAGTTAAACTACTGAAATTCTAGTTGATAATATTAAAAAATAAATTATATGTTTCGGACCTCTTGACTCTTGTTGAAACAATATATAAATATTTCACACGAAAGCTTCCATTTCAATTATATATACTATTTTAATTTTTAACATTATGTTTATATATTTACTTAATTGTAAGATTAATGAGCATTTTAACTTGTGTTTTTTTAAAATCTGTTGTAAGCTGGTTATATATGCTTTTGTTTTTGCGGCTAAAAGCTTTTTCAAGTAAGATTATGTTTTAAAAATCTTTGTAATATTTTCCTGTATGTTATAGCTGAGATTCCTTCCTGCTTTTTTCTTGCCACGCATCATCTATCAAACCAAAAGTTGCACTCTTTTTGTTGCGTTGGGTATCCATTTTTTTAAAAAATATTTATGGCATATTAAATATTAATTTTGATATCTATAGTACATTTTTAGTATGTACACTCAAAAGAGTACTGACGTTTTTAATTAGTTCCACCCAAAATTTGTACAGTGCCACGAAAAGTTTGAAAAGACGAAAACTTCCTATTAAAATGCTTTCCTTATTGTTTTTTTTTTTCAAAAAATAAATTCATATTCCTTAACTTCGCGAACCATATAACCTTTGTAGATCAATTAAGAGATACTTGAAATGACTGTATTCTATGTATAAAATATGAATACTATTTCATTTTATAAATCAAAAGTATGCTAAACTTAGTTCGGATTACGGGATAGCCAATTAAACAAGGAAAACCATTTTTAAGATGAGTTTGTTGTTGTTGTTTTTTTTTTTTTTTTGATATTTTGGAGGTACGAATACTGCATTTGAAGACTATTGTAGTAACTCTTTGAAATTTAGTTTGAACTTTTGGGAAGATATCACCGTTAAATGGTAAAACCCGCGATACTAGTAAACCATGTTATTATATACCTCCCGAATTCTGAGGATAGCTTTTGCAAGAAGTTGATGACAAGAAAATATTGCTATTGTTTTCTCTCAAGACATTGAAAATAAAAAAAACACGTGGAAGAATGGATGGGCTAATATATAACATTACTCCATAAAATTACTTTCTCGTCGGTATCCTTTTCATTACAAATTCCTTTCTTAAACACAGCGATATAATTTTGTAATTATATTTATTTTATTGTTTTTTGAAATAATTTATTTCATTGTTTTTGACACGATCCAGATTGCATATAAGGATTTTATAACGGTAATAAATAATGATACTATTAATTAAAATCTCAAGCGTATTACTTTTTTTTTGGTAACATTAAGTTTACTAATTTTAACAATGAATATGTTAAGTTCTGTACTGTGATCATTGATTCGTTGAATACCGCTTTTTTAATTTGATAACATAAAAAAGATAAACGTTTTAGAAGGGAACACACTGTTGACATAAATGTTTCTTTAATTTGGAATCTAATCATTTGTTTATATGATTAGGTTGCTTTTGTGAGTTAGGCTGAATTCCTTAACCCATCGTCGATCAGTCAGATCTATGTTCTTCATTGCTTAAGGCATATTTATTACTCTTATTTATTTAATTAATTATTTTTGTTGTGTTCTTCTATTCTACGAGAAGGTTTATCATTCTTTTTTAAGAATAATAAGCAAATGTAATATATGCATTTATTTTTCTCTTTACACGAAATACATCAAATATTAAAAAGACGAGTTTTTCCATGTACTCAATATATATAAATAATATGTAGCAATTAGCTATGGATCCTTGGAACAATTAATTTATAATTTGTATGCCAGATGCTATATTTAGGAAATGTATCATAGCCTGGTCAAAAAAGAAAAAGTCTTACAGAAAAAATAGACTACCTTTGAATTAAAACATTTGATAAGTCGATTTAGTTTCTCTCTTTCATTTTTCCCTTTTTCCCCCCCCCCCAAATACACATGCTTTAATTATGTCTTGATACTAGTATGCATTTTGGAAAGACGAAGTGATGAGTATAATTCTGCGTGTGTCACGTGTGTATGTGTGTGTGTGAGAGGGAGAGAGAGAGAGGAGCTAAAAGCAACTGAATGTCAGTATAATTTAGAATCCTGGAAGAGTACTGGGAGGATTAGAGATTTCTTGATGCCCTTGGCTAGTAAGTTTATTGTGCAATGTACATGAGATGCTGTTCTGTGGTTATGATTCTACCTATCACCACCTGCTCTCATTCCTTTGTTTCAGTGCAGCAGTGGTGTGGAACTTATGTTTTTCACCTTTGACCTCATATTTTATTAACTATGGTGTTGTCTTTTGTTTGAATACTATAAATATTTATTTTATTCTATATAGCTGGAATTTCCATTGCAACCCGAAACTGATGTCCAAGCAGCAGAGTTGCATTGCATTTCTGTTCTCGGGTGTTTGTAATTTGAGTGACATTGAACCATTTTGTCTTTAAACAACGAGTATTTAAACGGAGCCTACAATTTTGACAACTAGTTGAAATTGAGTTCTCATGGAGCATCTACAATTTTGTTTAACTTGTCAACTTGTCTGTCTTAGGATGATACTTACAGGCGAGAAGTGAAAACTCCAGCGAAGAGTTCCAGAAAACTAAAAGGCACGATTGGTGGTAAAAGAGCTGCACTTGATGACATCAATGCGTCTGCACATAAAAAGAAAGCAAGTCTAAAGCGTGCATCTATTGGAAAGAAGCGAGAAGCAACGGAGAATTACTCAACGCATATGTTTGGGAAGGCATCAAGTGGCTGCAATGTTCAGGATGGTATTGAAGACAAAACTCGTGATGCCCAAGAGCAAATATTAGCCAGGCATGTGACGTTCTCTAATAAAGATAACATGCTTGGTCCGAAAAAGAGAAGCTCATCTGATGAAAAAGTGTTCTCTTCCGATGGACAGGCTGCTTCATCGGTAAAGGAGCAATCCTCTGCAAGTGATGAAACTGCTTGTCTGGAGGTAAACAGAAGAGATAGCAGCATTACCTTTAATACGGAGAGGGGAAAGGAGTTTTGTCCTGTAGTTGAAAGTAAACAGTTTTCTACTGCTCCTGAACGAGTTCCTCCAAAAGAATTTTTGAGATCATGTGCCACTTCGGACAAGAAAAAGCATTTGGTAGGGAAGACTGAATCATTGATAGAGGTGGCATCTGATGATAATGATAATCTACACCTGTTTGATACGGGCAACACAACTGCACTACACTGTTCTTCCCAATCTTCAATTTCCAGATCTCTTTCTGCATATCAGGAAGGAGGCATTTCTTCTGTAAGTACTCGTGTGGGTGACTCTGGAGCTCACCACTCCCCTGGAAAATTCATGGATCATCATGGGGATTCTGCTCATCAGGTTTCTGCAGCGGACTCTGATGCAAGCATGAGGACATTTGTGCAGTCTTCATTGCATCACACTTTATATAGTCAAGGCAGTGAAAAATCCTTATCATCACAAACTTATGAAGATAACAGCCAAACTTTGGGTTATAGACCTTTGTCTCACATGTTTTCAGCAAATAGCTCCATGGATGAGAACTTCTTTGGTTTGCCACTCAATTCTCAAGGTGAGCTAATTAATTTCAGTTCATGCTCAAAAGGAGGGATTAACCAGTCAGAGACATCAAGTATGTTAAGAAGTAGCAGATTACTCTTTGACAACATTGCCTATAGAAGTAGCCATGAATATTTAAGCATTAATGAGAGTCATCTTGTTCCGAAGACATTGTCACAAGGTAGTGTAAATAAATTTCCTCACTATCCCGCCAGGCTAGGTGTGACAAATCAATTGCAAGGTATTGGGAGAGCAGATGTGCACCAGTTTAATACTTATAGGGATTCCAATCAGTTTGTCTATCCTCTTGATTCGGAATTGAAGCCCATGAAATATCCTTTCGTTGAACAGAATCAATATGACCAGGTGCAGAACCATAAGAGAAATGAGATGATTCATCTGAAAAAAGGTTCAGATCTTAGTTCACAAAGTTCCACCCAACCAACAATGCGGTTGATGGGGAAAGACGTTCCAATTGGTAGAAGCATCAAAGAGGAAGATGTGTGGGCTGAACAGCAATGTATAAGAAGCCATTCTTCTAGAGAAGCTGCATTAGAAAATTCGTCTTTGGAGACGTGTTCTAAGCTGGATCACTTACGTGGCTCACCATTACAAAGCACCGCAATGATAAATGGTCCAGAATTTGAATTTCCTCAGCCATTTCTTGATTTGCAAACTAATTATGTACCACAAAATGGAAACTGGGGATTCAGCAAAACTGCTAGTTGTTATTCTCAACCTATTACTCATGCCCACACTTCAGGTTCAGCATCTAATAAGGCACGTCAAGACTCGCCAGGGCAGTCTGTATGTGGACCTAAATTCCAAGGACTTGGTTCTCACTTACAGGCACAACTTGCTACGTGCAATTACAACCAACATACTTGTCAAAGCAATGGTGACCTGTACGCCAGGAAGAAACTCCCTCTTGTGACAAAATCTGCTTTTGAATTTCCGTTGGTGCACCCGGCTTTTGGAGAACATGCCAAAGCATCCTGGTTTCAGAGCTCCAATGGAAGCTCTCCACCGTGGCTGCTAGCACAAGAAAAGGTACCGGGTACCTTATGTCAACAAATACCTGGCCCGAGTAGTATATGTCTTCCTCATACTCAATGGGGAGGTAGGTTTCCCACCCCTGTAAATCACTCAATTCTAAATTGTTCACCGGTAAATTACTGTCACATGAAAACACCTATTAGTCCAGCTTCAGTTGTTCAACCTCCACTTCTTCCTCGAAGGCCTGCCATTAATCCTTCCTCAACTATACGTAGTGGTTGTCGAAATGAGGCAATGGTCAATGACAGAGTGATCTTAGAAAACAGGACAACAAACGACCATGGTTTGTGTAACAATACTAGGAAGAGACCTGCTGCTAATATACATGGATCGACAAAACTGATCAAGTTGAATGAGATAGAAGTGCGAGAGAACTTAAATGGTGTGCCTGGTCTGATTCAAGAGAACACAAGCGGTGAATTTCAAAGGACCACGAGAACTGTTGAAGTTGCTCCACAAGGGGATAGTTCAAGACGTAAATGCTGTTGCCTCAATGAAGCTCAAAATATGATGTCTAAAACTTACCTGGGCCTGCAAATCTCAGGTCCTGGGAGACCAAGTCCAGGTACTGGGCATATCCGTAAACCCTCCCCGAATGTTGCTGCAACTACTGACACTGATAGGGATCTAGATTTTCAGAGAAAATTGACGAAAATATACGAATTTTAGGTGTAAGTCCACGTACATCTTTATAACTCCGTCAGTTTTGCCTTCACAGTACACCCACTTGTTGAAGATAACGGAATCTAGTGGAAATTTCATATGATTTCATCCGGTATTTTGTGATGATGATGCTTTCTATTTTATTTTTTATTTTTTTGGGGAGCACATGAGGAAGATTTGGATGCTGATCGCTATCTACATTCCACCCATCTCTGCAACATGAGTTTTTGAGCTTTTTATGGTTCTCTCTGACTCTGTTTGGGATATGTTAACAAAAATGTGGTTCCTAAATTTTAATACATTGATGAAGAACTTGGCAGTTAAAATTGATAAATCTCTCATCTGTTGGGCAAGCAAATTTTAGATTTTGAAGAAATTAAAAACTTGTTTTCAGGATCTTTCTCCTAACAAGTACGGAAGTGCCTTGCGAAAATAGAAAGAAAAGAATCTCGTTCGTTTCTCAGGCCAATGCTGCTAGTTCTCTTCTCTCTCTTGTTTGTTGCATTTTTTTAGGCTCCCAAAATTTGTATTTTTGTACCTTACACATTTATGTATTTAGAGATAAAAAGATATAGAAAAAGATGTGTTTGAGAATGATTCTATTTTTATTTATGCATTCATGATTTTTTATTTATTTTTATATTTATCATCTCTTTTCCTCAATCTTTTGTTGAATTTATCGTTTCTAGATGCGGAGTGATTTTGCTTCTCCAATATTTCATCTAGATTTAATAAGTTTAAACGTAAATTTTCTGTTTTTAGATCCACATACTACAATTTTCTCATTATTATGGATTCATTCCTATAAATCGTCAGTCAGCATCAATATATACAAGACAAATGATGGTTAGACGGGTAAAAGGGCATTGTTTTGTATTTTTGAACTAAAAAAAAAGTCATATTTGGAGGAGTGGTTTCGATTGGGCCTGAAAATAATATTTAAATATAAATTTAATTTTAAGAGTAATATTAATGAATATTGTAATTATCAACGGCAAATTATTTTAGCGGTAACGTCACACCCGCTACACTGAGATGACATAGCTCTGAGTTTAGCATTAATATGTTTGTGTGCATGTTGTTAACTGTATAAAAAAAAAAAGAATATTGTAATTGTCATTTCATAATGAAATATTAATATGATAAATGATAAATAATAACGTAACTTACATCTCAGATAAAATATTATTATTGGTGAGAAGAGGATAGGTGAGGGGTTCCTTGAGAGGACAGTATTGGTGTTTGGGACAGTGTTAGGGTGAAAATTGCCTCACGTTCCCCCCATTCTACTGCTCTTATTGTAAACTGCAGCAATTTCATTGGATTTCGAAGCATTACCTCCCTTTCCCACAGCATTAAGAAAATAAACTAATTAACCTGTAATTTAAGTCTGTCCATAGTTTCAAAAATATAATAGAAGAATTAAACTGCCATCTTTCTATATTTCACATCAGAAAATGAATATATACCAATAAGATTTTGATATCAACTAAGGAAGGTGGCTGAAGTTGAAGCGGTTATAATGGAACCACAAATTCTGAAATAAGACTCAGTGTTCACAGTGAAACACAAACAAATTAAATCACAAAATATACTAAACCAATACCCAGAAGATACACACACACACACACACACACACACACATATATATATATATATAAAGATCAGTGCTTTCTTGCTTCTTTCTCAGCAGCTTTGATGACTCGCTCGAAGGACTCAGGGCCATAAGTATCGATGTAATGTTCAACAGCTTTTCTTGCATCGAAGGTCATCATTTGAAGAGCCTCTGGATATTTCGACGAAGAAGAAGAAGACGAAGGGGCGAAGCCAAGTGTTTGCATGTTCTTCAGCCACTTCCTCGCGTAATTCTCATATATGTAAGCTGCTCCATTGAACATTGGCAGTACCAGCCACATGCATATCAGCAACTTCACCAGCGACCACAGTGGAAACCTGTACGTTCATCCACATATATCATATCATCAACTTCAACAGCAATGGTCATTTCTGTTAAAAAAACTAACATTAATTATTAAAAGAAACTAACACTAACTGTTACAATTTTTAACAGAAAGGGCAGCCTTGCTTTTTTCTTAATACTTTTGGGGGAACAGTGAGGGCGAAAAAAAAAACACTTTCAAATATTCATACCTCATCCGTGAGTACTTTTAATACAAAAATGACCCTTCATCTTTAATTCTCCAACTTTTGGAAGTCCAATTTCAATCAATCAACTTTAAATGAACTAGTTTGGAGATGGAACAGCAAGCTAAGGGTGCGTACGTACCAGGCTAGGACTTTGTGGAACGAAAGCTCAAAGAGGGTTAGGAATGAGTACAAAACCCAGTACGTTAGCCATTGTTGATCGTCCAATGTTGAAGGACTCTCGATCGCCCTCATAGATGCATATCTGCTCATTATTTCGATTAATTTTCATATACAAACTCATTATAATTAATCAGTAAAATATTTTATATATATGCAATTTCATCACTTACAAGGGATAAAGAAGCATCACGCCTGGCCTGTAATTACCCAACAAAAGGAAAAACAAAAAGTAGAATACTGTTATATATGTGTGCTTGTTTGTGGTAAAAACAATAAAAGAAAGGGATTATTATGAAAGATGATAGCACAATACTTACCCTACAATTGTATCCAAATGTCTGGCCATTGTTCCAACGAAACCCATAATGAGGAAGGAAATGAGAAACTACTGATGAGTTTCTGATACGATCTTAATGTTTTGTATATGATGTAGCTCTAGGTTTAGGAGCTTTCCAGATGAATTACAGAAGATGAAGATGAAGATATATATACATATATATATATAGAGTGATGAAAAATGGAGGAGTAGGGTTAATGAAAGAAGCAAAGAATTTGGTGTGGGGATGAAGAAGACGACCCACAAGTCTTCTTTTCTGCGATGCCAAGAAAGGACATATTGGGAATGTCAAAAAGTTTGGTATTTACAAGATGCATGCATGCAAGATGTCTTTTTGTTGGAACCTTAACATATTCCTTTCTTTTTTTGAGTGAAACATATTGCTTTCTTTTACTTTACTTTCTCTTCAGCTTTAGAATCCTTAGCATAAAATAATAAAACTCGCACTGAGACATCTATATATATAGAGAGAGAGAGAGAGAGTAGTGTATCTGGATCGAATTCGAATTTGGAAGTAGCAGTTCGGTTTAAGAAAGGTTTATCTATAAGAGCAAGAAGACAACCTTTCTCGAAATCGATGATGATCAATCAACAATATTACTTCTTAAAAGATTATTAAAAGCTTTGCAAGATCAGACCTGTCTCTCTGGGATCTCGATTTCCTGCCCATTTTTCTCCGTGGGTGTTCTCCTGATTTTTTTCTTTTTAACTTGCAGATAAAATGAGATGCCTTTTTCTCTAAAATTTTAGACTAGTCTTTTTATTTTTATCCTCGTTAAATATATCTATGCAATAAATTTTTACTCATTATTTTTCATGTATTCTTTTTACAAATAAGGATATAATTAGAAATATATATACATTCGACACATTTATCACTTTTAACTAAATTTAATTAACATTTTGAATCTTGTAATTTTAGTAGCTATTTTTTTTAAAAATAATTATGAATGGAGGGAGCATAAATGAAGATGTATGTGTGTGTATATACTACCTCCGGTCCTTAATATGAAACCCTGTTTGACTTTTCTTTTGGTCCTAAATATAAGACCCCAATCTACTTTGTCTCTCATATTTATACTTTTTTTTTCCAAAGTAATCCTTCTAATAATGATAGTTCTAGTCAATACACTTAATTAGCAAGGATATTTTAGGAAAGATAACACCTATTTAAGACAAATAACTAACCCAATTTATTTTTTTAATCTCTTTAAATTAGTCAACTGACTCTTATAATTAGGATCGAAGGTAACATTAGATATATACAAGCAAAGCCTGTAATTGTGTCTTCCAATGATGCCTCTTTTTCGTTACCATTTTGGTGCGAAGCCGCGTTCCTGCTGATAAAATGCGTCACAATTCACCGATAATCAAAAGTTCTCTCTTGTGCGATCATTTTAACAGCACACTTCCTCCTATGTTTGATACATCATTCTAGGATTTTCTCCCACACTGCTCTGTAGAGGCAACAATGTTATGATGCAGTAATTATTATTACCTCCTGAGATTAATATAAGAGCTAAATAATTAATTTGAATATTTTTTTTAAAAATAGCTAAGTTGATTATTTGCAACAAATATGTATTGGTTTTACCAAAATTATCTTCATTAATAATGTACATTGGAACTATTTTTTGGTAAAAATCTTTTACAATCAATAGAAAGATTTTGAGAAAAAAATTATAAATTTAGAAAACAAAATGTATCAAATTCTTATATTTAGAACAAAATTTAATCATTCAATTAATTAACTTTTATAATAATGATATGAGAGATAGTACATGCTTTTCACTAACATTAGATTAGATATAATTGCAGCATGTCATCTCATCAAATGTGAAAAGCTATGGGAGTTGGGTTTAATAGAATATACTAATTTCTCATAATTTGATGAATTAATATTCAAATTTCTAGAGGAAAATGTGTCCACTTCAATAGTTAACCATATTTTGAATGTAAGAGGACATCTATACTTATTACTATTATTTTTTAAAAGAGCATTGTGAAAAGCAGACCAGAGAAACCGCTGCTTTTGGTTTTACAATACATACATGAAACACAACAAAGTGTAAATTAAGAGAACACACACACACACACACACTGGTTGTCCCACTTCCTTGGATTTTTTGATCAGGAAAAAGTTCTTCATTGGTACCATTATCAAATCATTTGAATAGTTTTAAACGCTTAAACCATGATAGAAAGGGTAAATAATGTTTAAAACTCATAAATTAAAGATTATATTTAATTTCTTGACAATTACGTTTAATATAACTAGAAATTAAAAATGTTATGGGAAGCTGTTGTGCGGCTGTGAAATCTATAATACAGTGCATTTTATATTTTTTTATTATTTTAGATTCAAAATTTAAAAGAATCCATTCCTGCAGTCTTTTGTATCTGTTACTAATTTAAAGAGAGAAAAATTACTCGAGGGATTTTGATAATTTGCATCTCAACCCTTGCTAAATAGTCAAATTACATTTCGCGCTTCTGAGTTCCCACCGCTGAGGCACTGACCACGCTATCCGGATTTGCCCCATTGATACTTTCTATGTTTGGATTGGGTCTTCTCTAACCGTACCCTAACTTCCTTCTGCTTCAGCTGTAACAAACACCGATCGCATTGCTTCTGCTTCTTCAGCCACAGTACGCTCTGAAAACCCTAATTTGCCCTCTATATTTCTTCTTCTAAGTTTAATTCTGTTTTGATTGCCTTTAATCTCCGTTGTTGAATTTAAATCTATGTATTCCGGTCATGGATCCGAGTCCGAATGTAGTTAGCATTGTTTTGCCCGCTCTTTGATTATATATGTCTGTGTTTCGACTCCGATCCGAGACCCACACCTACTCGTCATCTGACCCGATTTCACAACCCGTTTCGGGCCGGTTCTGTCGGGCGGGTTTGGATGGCTCCTATTATGTCCAGAGGCGCCTGGGGGGGTCGATTCGCCATCGTTTCTGTATTTATTTATGGTTGACATTGCCCAGCCTCGACTAGGATTCGGAAAATTCTGCCTCTGAAGAACCGTAAATAGAATGTTTGTCAGTGTTTTTGTTTTTACAAAATACTGGTTTGTAAAAATGTGAATATATGAGGTTTGTCATTGAATTGCTTGTTGTGGATGCGCTATTTTGATTGCTTGCTTCTTAGCTTACGGGATGAACCTGTAAGTTAGCATGCAGTTTTGAAGTCTTGGAATTATATTCATTTTGGGATGACCAGGACTAGTTGGGGTCTTTGACCGATGAGCTCACTGAAAACCATTGAAGATTTGAACTCAGCATGAAAATCCGTCCTGCACTTGTTACAGTAGTTTCTATGTGAAATAATGAAATGATCATTTATAGTTTAGTTGAACACTTCCCACTTCCCTTTTGGTAATTCACAGCAGTAAGCACCGACATAGCAGCCGCCCTTTTTTTTTTTTTCCTCTCCCGCTTGCAGATTTATATTAAAGAAAAAAAGCTGTTATTGTGTAACAATGGGCTATTTAGTCGCTACTGCTAATTTGTGTTTTCTCTATGAAATTTTTCAGAGAAGTTCTTTACTGGGACAAATTTTGGAATATTAGATGTTGGAAACAGTGTGTTTTCGAAGTTCCTCTACGTTTATGGAATGTTAAGCTTAGATGTTCGTGATTTTTTTTTTTTTTGGGAAAAAATTCCACTTAAAGTATTTACTATTGCAGGTTGTGTGTGGTATGGAATTGTTGGTGTTCCTTAATTGAAGTTTACAGATTTATTAGTTTTGCTTGTATTTTTTCAGTCTTGAGAGAGGCTTCTTGAGTTAGATTTTGCATATCATTTCATCATAAAATCATTTAATCTTCTCTCTTTCTTTTTCTCTTCCTCTTCTTCAATATTGTCTTTGCACTTGTAGTATTATGCACTTAGGCACTCAGAAAAGATGCTCTGCATGAATATGCTTTATATATTCCTTAATATGGATACTATTTGAAAATTTTAATGGGCATGTATTGTGCCAGGTTCATGCAATGGATATGTCAGATGCGGTAACAGCCAAATCTAGCCGGCTAAAATCTGTTGTGTGGAATGATTTTGATAGGGTTAAAAAAGGCGATGCCTGTGTGGCTATATGTAGGCATTGTAAAAAGAGGTTGAGTGGATCTAGTAGTAGTGGAACATCTCATTTAAGGAACCATTTGATCAGGTGTCTGAGGAGATCTAACAATGGAATATCACCATCCGTTTCAGCAAGGGAAAAGAGGAAGGAAGGGGCTCTTGCAATATCAAATATCAGTTTTGATCAAGATCAGAAAAAGGATGATGACCTTAGCCTTGTGAACATTAAATTTGAGCAGGAGCAGTTGAAAGATGACATATTCAGCAATGGAAACAAGAACTTTGATCAAAGACGGAGCCAATTGGATCTTGCTCGCATGATTATCTTGCATGGATATCCATTGACTATGGTCGAGCATGTTGGTTTTAAAGTATTTGTGAAAAATCTTCAGCCACTGTTTGACCTTGTGACAGTGAATAGCATTGAGGCTGACTGCATTGAGCTCTATGAGAAAGAGAAACAGAAGATGAATGAAATGTTGGATAAATTACCTGGTAAAATCAGCCTTAGTGCTGATGTGTGGATGGCTATGGGTGATACTGAGTATCTGTGTTTGACAGCAAATTACATAGATGAATCATGGCAGTTGAGAAAGAGAATCCTAAATTTTATCATGATCGATCCTTCTCATACTGAAGACATGCTTTTGGAGGCTATTACGACGTGTCTGATGGACTGGGATATTGACCGTAAGTTATTTTCCATGACATTGGATACTTGTTCCACCAATGATAACATCGCCAAGAGAATTGGTGAGCGTCTTTCACAGAATAGGTTCCTTTATTGTAATGGTCAATTATTTGATATACGCTGTGCTGCAAATGTTATTAATATAATGGTTCAGGATGCTCTGGGAGCAGTAAGTGACATAGTCAATAAGGTTCGAGAAAGTATTCGTTATATTAGAAGTTCACACTCTGTATTGGAAAAGTTCAATGACTTGGTTAAAGAAGTTGGGATCCAGAGTAAAAAATATTTATTTCTTGATAATCAAATGCAATGGAATTCCACCTATTCAATGCTTGAGACTGCCTTGGAATTCAGGGATGTACTTACTCTTCTACAAGAAAATGACAATGCGTACAGAATCAGTCTTTCCAATGTAGAGTGGGAGAGAGCGACTGCAGTCACTAGTACTTGAAATATTTTGCTGATGTTACAAATGTTTCTCACAAGAGCAAGTTCCAACGGCAAACATTTACTTCCCTGAGCTTTGTGATGTAAAGTTGCAGTTGATGGAATGGTGCAAAACCTCAGATGAATGTATTAATGGTTTGACGTTAAAGATGAGAAGCAAGTTTGATGAATATTGGGAGAAATGCAGTTTAGGCAGCTTGGCGTTGCAGCAATGTTAGATCCTCGATTCAAGATGAAATTGGTAGAGTATTACTACCCACAAAATCTATGTAGCACTTCTGCTGGTCGCATTGATGAGGTCTTTGATGGTGTGAAGGCCCTGTATAATGAGCTCTCAATCTGCTCCCCATTCTTCTTCTCATGATCAGGGATTAGCTGGCAGGTTGGAATGGGACGCTTTGTTTACCTGGTAAGGATTCGAGGGATAGATGATGGGGTTTGACAATTCCTCCATGAAACTTCTCAGGGTGAAGATGTGAAATCGGATTTAGAAAAAATACTTAGAAGAACCTCTGTTTCCACGAAATGTTGATTTCAGCATATTAAACTGGTGGAAAGTAACACACTCCGAGGTATCCTGTCTTGTCCATGATGGCAAGAAATGTATTAGGGGTTCCAATGTCAAAGGTTTCACCAGAGTTGGCCTATAATAATGGAAGAGAACTTGATCGTGATTGAGTTCACTTAACCCTGCCACTGTTCAAGCCTTGGTGTGTTCACAGATTGGATACAGGGTGAACTGGAAAGTTAAAGAACTGCTTTTCTCCTGCCTTTGACTTGCATATGTTGATTCTTCTCTTAAGAAATTCCTTTGTAAGTTATATCTCCTAACGTTACAAGTCAGTTATCCTTAAAATTATGTCATATTCTAGTTTTATCCATCCTTGTGCATTAAACAAGTTGATTTCTTAAGTCTTATTTTTGGCATCTGTGTTCTTTTTTCAATGTTTTTGGCGATCAATTGCATCTTATGAAGTCTTCCCTTCACCTTTAGAAACAAAATCTGCGTTTGCCTAGGGATATCCTGGTGTTTATTTATCCCAATCACCCTGCACAGAAATATTAACTGAACCACACTGCTGGAGTGCTTGCTTGAAGATCTCAGCATCCTTGGTCATCCACGATCCACTCAGCATCCTTGGTCATCCACGATCCACTTAGCCTTGGAGCATCACTCTGGTCATTGGTGTGCCTATGCCCTTGGAACTCCCTGGGGTTTTTGAGCTTCATAGATGTTTGAAGATCAGAAAAAAGACCTCCTTCCATATGGATTCAAAATTTGAGCATGGATCTCCATCTGGTGACAACTGCAATTACTTTTCCTTGTTGAGACCCCCCATAACAAAATCAGGATTTTGTCTCCCCTGCATATCTATATAATAGATGCACTGCATCCCCTTTGCTTCACGAGCCTACGAAGACATTGTCGTGAACATCCGGTCTCGGCCAAGAAAATGGTGTTTGGTTAGGTGGCCTTTAGTCAGCTGCTCAAGTCATAAAATTATCGAGGGGCAGCTTAGGCCCAAAGCCTTGGTATTTTTCACGAGAAAATGATTCCCCTTAAACCCCCCCCCCCAAAAAAAAGTGTCTTCTGTTTGTCTATCGTTGTAATTATGCTTAACAGTTTTTTTTTTTAGACATTTTCAGTGCTTTTCAAAAATATGAGCATGTTCATCGGTAAAGTTTTTTTTTTTAAATTATTTTTATTCAATTCATTTATATTTTTTTGCGCATCAAAACAGTTTGTAGTTGTCTACAGTGTCTGATGCAGATATTTTCCGCTAGTTTTGAATATCTTCAACTATGCGGAAAGCAGA